CCGTGACGTGACTCATAAAACTTGATAATGTTTTCGTGGGATTTTATCTCGGAATAAGTTTTAAGCTATAATTTACACATCAGTTATTTTGTTATTATAAATAAGAAAGGACATTCGAAATAACATATACAGTACCTCTCTGTCAGCTTCATTCGATTTTTTATTCACAATCTTCATGGCAACAGCTATTTCGTTACCATTAATGACCAGCATTTTTTTCAGAACCCTGGATGAACCACCATCGGCCATATGGTTCAACTCTATAATCCGGTTATCCATACACGGCATCTTTCTTTCAACACCCTGAAGTTGGGTGTAAGGAATCAATTTATCATCGAAGAATATTGAATTTAACAATCAGGATTTGAAATTAATACACTACCTTTATTATATTATATATCGAAATGGATTTTTTACGTATAGTCCGAATATTTATCTATTAATTCTATAAAAGAGATTGCGGATCTCGTAATAATTTTTAACTGTGCAATTTTCGATAATAATAAAAAAAAAAACACTTCTTCGTCTTGCTTTTATTGATAAAATTTCGGACTTTTCTTTAATTTCTGGAGAACTTGCTTAAATTAATAAACTAGTTCTTATAACTGCATTAGGAAAGTGTTTTGCAAATCACTAAATCACAATACAACTAATACGTAATGCATAATTATTTATTGCTCACGCCGATCAAGGCTCGGGTCACATAACGTGCGTCACCATACCCTTTTTTTGTTTATCCTATCAAAAAATAAATTTTATTTAAATATAAATTTTTAATTTCGTTGGACTAAAATTGACGGGGAATGGACAATTCAACTATTTGCTAAAAAATATGATACTTGAGTTTATTATAGAACTTTAAGAACTTATAATTATCTTTAACTATCTTCAAAAGTAATTAGTTTCTTTAATATACATTAAATTCATCTTTACAGATAAAAATTTATATTTTTATTTATCTTAATTTCATAATTATTATGTAAATTAAATATATTAAAGATAAAACAAAATGTCTTAGAATATAAATACTTTAGCAATTATGACAGACTAACAGTTGCATATAACATATGATACAAATAATAATAAGCTCTCTGGGTTGTAAAAACAAAGGGAAACCAACAAAACCAGATACAAGGATTGATTTAATACTACTCACCACCAATTATTATTATTAAAAACCAATAATTTTGATTTTTTACAAAGCAATTTGGGTTGAAGTTTTAGTTTTATAATTTTTTTTCTTAATTTAGTGTTGTGAAACAAAAGGAATGAGAGAAAAATAATAATTGATAATAGTATGTAATGGAAATGGATATGTTAATAAGATATATAAATAGATTGTTTTATATAGATTATAAAAAAAAACATAAATTTCGAAATATACTTTTCATTTCTTCTTACTTTATTAAATAAATACTAATCTTTATACAAGAACCTTTATATAACTCTTAAAGTATAAACTAAAACTGCTGTTACTATAGTAAAGTGATTTTTAAAGAAAAGAATCTGAGTTATCTTTGTCATATATAGAGAAAGATACTTGTAATCTTATAATATGCTTAAGAAAAAACAGTCAAAAGAAGATTAGCAAATATATAAATATTGGTTAAATCATAATCTGCCTCAGAGTTAAAGTCTTTAACTTATTTAATATCAAAATTCAAGTATTCAAATTATTGATTTAACTATTTTAGCAATAGACTTGTCAGTAATAACAAGATTAAATTTATGTTAAAAATATTATATTAAAAAATATAAGAATTTTTTATAGACTAATTACATAAGTACTTGTTATTAATTCAGAAATTGAGAAATTTTATCAATAAAAGCAAAACAATGTGTTTTTTTTTATTTCCTATATAAATTAAAAAAACATATAGATCGGAAGAG